CTTGTCCCCTGGACTAAAACAGTCACTGGCTAAACTTGCTAAAGGGAAGCTGGGAAGTGAACCTGGGAGTTTCAGTGGCACATGATTAGCTGAAGATGCTACTAGCAGTGAGAACCTAGCTGTGCTCTCTGTTTAGAGTGTCGAGAGACTAACGACAGTGTGTTAGCTGAACTGTTCTCTTCTGGGGCTTGGCGTCCTTTGGAGGCTCATTTGGACTGTTGGCAGAGACTACTAAAGTCATGGGACTGAGGCCCCTGCTTGTTGGGAATTGTTTAAAGTTTATATAGATCACCCTCAGGCTTAGCTCCATGGAGACGTCTTTTCCAGGAAGTATCCAGCTCCCTCCTCCAACATTTTTGGACCCTAATACTGTATCCTAGACTGGCCTGGAACTTACTGTATAGCTCAGCATGACTTTGAATGGCGATCCTCATGCCTCACCATCATGTGTGCTGGATTATACCATGCCCGGCTGTGCAGCCCCACTCAGAGGACTAAATAGGTTCTGTCCACAGCACAGTCTTTCTTTACCAAAGTCAGTTATGCTAAATCTCATGACCCAGATACTGAAGTAAAATCAATCGTGTGTCCAGTTCTAACTTGAGTAGAACTTGACTGTTGATGGTTAATTTTCATGTGTGTATGTGTTTTAAATTTACAACATTCTTTATAATAAAGTTTAAAAAATCAATATGATAATATTCTTAGCAGCATCATTCATAACAGACAAAAAACAGAAGCATAAATGTTCATCAGTTTCTAATGGATAAACAAGGTGTGGTGCCCAGATGATGGAGAAGTCATTCAGCAATAGAGGAATGAAGTACTGGCACATGCCCGAACAGAAGACCCTTCATCCTGTGATTGAAAGAAATCGTGCACATATAGCCATACTTTGTACAATCCTTTCATTGAAATGATCAGGAGGCAAGTCTGTATAGAGACATACTGAAGATGAATAGGTTGCTAGGGGATGTGGAGAAAGGACCAGAATGAGAAGCCATTAACTGTGGATATGGGAATACTTGAGGGTGATGAAATGTAATTTCATGAAATAGTAAGTATATATTACAGCACAATTCTGTGATTATACTAAAAGCCAAGGAATTGTTTTTTTACAAGGTAAAATTCATGCTATGTAAATTACTTCTTAGTAAATTGCTTAGAAAGCAATGTGGGTGTGGGTATTTTCTTCCTTTTCATCTGAGATGAAGTGTGCATGACAGCAACTTAATAGTTGAATAAGGAGTGATTGACAGTGGATGTCAGAGTGGGGTTAGGGTAATTGGGGGCAAGACTGTTAGCTTTTCTGTCACCTTTGTTATGTAGCCCCCGTTTAGTGGGGCACTCACCATAAAAGGAGAACAGAACCAATAGAGTTTGGTCTTCTGACTTATTAGACAAGGTGACCAAAATGCTTTCTTTCCAGCAATATGTTAAGCAAAGTATCTTTAGTTATGAATAAATGTTCAAAAGTGGCTGCTGTTTAGGTATAGGGGGCACAATGGACCACATCACACCGTAGACACTAACTCTAGAGAGCTAATGCTGAGGAAAGTGAGCAGATGGGGCAGCAGGGTGGCTGAAGTTAGGAGAGCTAAGCACTGCCCGTCGGCGCTGAGCCGGCCTTGAGCAGGAGTTCCTCTCAGCTCTGAGTTAAAACAACAGCTCTCCACAGCTTCCTTGGCACCTTTCTCATCTGTTTCTCTGGTCCCTCATTTATCTCGTTTCTTTGGAGGTCGTTGTGGCTCACTCGGCCTCAGGACGTCTCTTTCCATGTTTTAGTCTGACAGCTGACCACTTCTCCGGGAGGAGTAGGCACAGTATCTCTGACTGGTTCTCTGCTTGCTTGATGTTTCTTTACAGGCATTTCTCTGTGTTTTTCTTAACCAGTCAATCTGTTCTGGCTTCATTTGATCTTCCTAGGGGATTATTTTGGAGTCTGTTACTTCACCCCATGCTTCTCTCAAGGCATCCAGGTCCTCCCGCCAGCCGTCTGTCCTACTGTCCTTGCGTGTGTCTAAAAAGGGACTCCCTGTCCTCCACACTGGGCCCTTGTGCAGTATTTGTATCATTGCTCAAAGTATTTTCACTGTGCACTCTTCTTGCCATCTATACTAAGAATTAGGAATGTACCCATTGCTTTTTTTTTTTTTTTACATAGACTTTATCCCTTGATCATTTTTCTTGCTTTTTAAAAATCCCACTTTCACTTTCTGCTGGAGTTGTCCCAGTGAGCATCATGATCTCAGCTCCAGCTTTGTCAGAGACTTCTCTTTGTCAAAGTTTTGTAGCGCTTTCCCCACTCGCTGACACTGAGGAGTGAGCCCAAGGTCCATCTCCCACACGGTAGGTTCCCATTCTGCCTTCAGTATTTGGTATCTAGGAGTGTTTTCTTTGTAAGGTTTTTTACATGCTAATATATAACTGAAGTCATAAATAGCATTTGGGGAGTTAGTGGAAGGGTAGAAGATGATAGCAAAGTCAGTGGATAAAGGAGTTCTCTGGAAGTGGAGGTACCTTTCTTCCAGCACCAGGGACAGCTCAGGGCTGGAGAAAGAGTCCAGGAGCTGCTGATGAGGAGGTAATTGAGAACTTTCTTATGTCTGTAGTGCTACAGAAGGCCGGGTGGCCTTGAATTGGGTCAGAGAGAAGCATTGTTGGGCGTCAGAACAGTTTCCAAGTTCAGGAGGAGTTACTTTGCAATGCCCCTGAAAACAAAGCCTCTTTCTCCGCTGAGATGTTAGCATAGTCCCCGACTTTTCAGGTGTCTCAGCCCCTTGGGATGCCCTATGCGGTTCTGATTTTGACTCTGCATAGCATGTCTGTTCTGTCACGAGCTCTTTTTACTGAGCGCGTCCCTTTCCCACCTGGAGCCCCTGGTTTAGGTAGTTGGGGGCAGGGGGACTCAGAAGTTCTTTTCGGATTGTTCAAATGCTATCTCACCCACTTTATTTATTTTACAAATGATCTGTTTTGGTCTTTGAGACAAGATGTCAGTATGTGGCCCAGGCTGGCCTTGAACCCCTTTTCTTCAGCCTCCTGAATGTTGGGTTTGCAGATATGAGCTGCCATTCCCTACAATTTTAAAATTGGATTGTCTTGTTATTAGTTGTAAAGTTCTTTGTATATTCTATATGAAAGTCTCTTATCAAATACATGATTTGTAAATAATTTTGTTTTATTTTGGTTTCCTCTGCCTCCTGAATACTGGAATTAAAGGTGTGTGCCACCACCAATGCAATTTTATTAACAATTTTTGTCACTCTCTGGGTTCATTTTTTTACATGAAATATTTTTATGAAATGTTATACCTAGAATGGCACAAAATACTGAAGTGTCTTTTAAATTTTTCCTTTATTAAAATTACTAGTGGGTTGTCTGTTTCCATGTATATCTCTTATGGCCTTATCTACTGGGAAAAAGCAAGGCAAGAAGATTTTTTGAGGCCAGCTTGGGCTACATAGGAAGGCCCAAACTTACTGGGAAGAACACCAACTGGAAAGACATGGACTAAAATGTTTGTGATTATCATATAGTGACTAAGGTGGTAGATATATTTTTGTTCAATATGTTATATGTACTTAAGTATTTAAGCATAAATACTTAAAAATAATATAGGAGATTTTACGGCCTAAAGGAAATATGAAAAAAGTACAGGCCAGACAGGATCTCACTCCATGTGTTTCAGGGACCATCAGTTTGGGAATCAGAATGGGACTTAGTGTGAAGTTGACAGTGAAGTGTTGCCATCCTCCCTGGGTGCTGTGCATCTTAGGCCGTGCACCACGTTTCTGTTGTCTGGGTGCTCCTCCATGGTTTTTGTCTTAGGTTCTGTGACTGATCCAGTGATACTAGCTAGACTCATATGTTAGTACATTGCCAGTCATATTGAAGTTCCAAAAGTTAACCACAGAGTAAAAATGAGTAACATTCTCTGCCTACTAAGGGTTTCTGTTGCTGTGAAGAGACACCATGACCACAGCAACTCTTACAAAAGAAAACATTTAATTGAGGGAGCTCAAGGTTTAGTCCATTATCATCATGGTGGGGAACGAGGCAGCAGGCAGTCATGGTGCAGGAGAAGTAGTTGAGAATCTTAGATCTGGCAGGAAACAAGAAGTTGACTGAGATACTGGGTGATATCCCAAGGATAGAAAACATCAAAGTCTGCCCCCACAATGACACACTTACTCCAATAAGTCTATAACCACTCCAACAAAGCCACACCTCTTAATAGTGTCATTCCCTATGAGATTATGGGGGCCAATTATATTCAAACTACCACACTCTTTTTGTTAAATATTGACTTCAGGAAATTGTTTCAGTATAAACTGTCCTTTCAATGTGATATGTCCTGTCTGTCTATATTGCTTTAGAAAATATTTAAAATGTTAAAATTAGGTTTTGAAAATGTAAGTGTTCAAGAAATTCTTATTCTCATCAGGCCTTATTAAAATGAGTGGATATACCGAATTCTCTATAAATTATGGCTTTGTTTGCCTACATATTTAGTGTAATCATGAGTTTTTTTCATAAAATAACTGAATAATTTGCTTACACTATTTTTAGACTTATTTATCTTCATGTTACTTGTATGATTGTTTTGGTAGCGTGAATGTATGTATACCATGTGCATACCTACTGGACACCTGGAGTTGGGATTATGATGGGTATGAGCCACCATGTAGATGCTGGTAAATGAACTTGGTCCTCCACACAAGTGCTCTTAACTGCTGAACCAGTTCTTTAGCCCCCAGAAATTTACTTTTTAAAGTCAGTTACAGAAATTGGCTATGTATTGATTGTGGGTTGGGAATTGTTTAAGCAATTATTAGTTGTTAGCAGAATTATTTGAATTGTATATTGTAGACATGATTGATTTGGTATGAAGGTTTTTTCTAGTTTAGAAATTATAGCAATCAGTAATTTGGAAAAGGACTGTCATACAATCAAATAGCAACGTAATAACAGCTAACATAATTTCTCTGTTTATTCAGGAGCTGGTAATGCATCTTTTAGAATACAATGCTGATTCTACGGTTGTAAATGGGAGTGGACAGACAGCAAAAGAAGTCACCGATGACAAAGAAATCAGAAGCATGCTTGAAGGTAAACATGGATTTTTAACATAAATAGTGTTTGGTTTTGTTACTGCTAAGGTCACAAATGAGTTAACCTGGCCTGCAGCAGTGTAGGTGACAGCACTGTCTGTAGTGCTGATGTCACTACCAAGTCATCTGTTTCCTCACTCTGTTAGTTGTAGGGCAATGTGTACAGCTGTAGAGTTGCAGAGATATCCTGACTTACTGGGAAGCCAGGTTATACTTAGAACCACAATAGGACAGCTCTGGAGGCTGGAGCCGCATTAGGACAGCTCAGCCCTAGAGGACAAGGTATCCTGACTGTTGGGAAGCCAGGCCACCTGGCTGGGGGCAGGGGTAGGGGTGGTCTCCCCACAGGATATAGCAATTCTGCTCTTCTGGAGAGCCTTTACCCCTGAGCTCTGCTCTGTTCCCTTGAGGGAAAACGTCCTAGCTGAGCTATCTGCTTCTTTGGCCCAAGATGTTACTTTTGCTAACACTCTGCTAAAGGGTAAGCCTGGGCAGAAATGTAGCAATCCCCTCCAGCTCTGTAGAAAAGTTGTTACCTTTTCTCCCCCTCCTTACTCAGCCCCACTTAGGGAGTGTCCTAGCAAGGTTCTTCTGTTCTGCTCTGCCTTGCACAGGGCCCCTTTTGGGAGTGTCTCTGCAAGGTTTTTCAGCTCAGTCTGCTAAAGGACATCTCAGCCAGGTTCTTCTATTCTGTGCAGGTGAATGAACCCAAGACTCTTTTGAGAAAGAGATTTATTTGGGAAGGAGGAGTCCAGGAGAGTGGCTGCCTCTGTCAGGGAGGGATAAACAGCAGCCCTTAACTGAACAGAGAGGCTTATCTAGGGCTTCTCAGGGGCAGAGTTTTCCCAGGAAGAACGATTGGCTAGTTTTTCCCTGCTCAGGGATGGGCTTGTTTAGTTGGTCAGAGGTAGAGATGACTCTGACTTCATGACCAAACTGTGTTTCTTTTTACTGGTCCGTTTTAGATTTTTGACTCTAATCTTAGGACCAGGGCATATTTATTTCACTGGTTCTGATTTTAGGGACAAAGTGTGTTCCTTTGACACTAGTTTCAGAGTCAGAGCATGTTTCTTTGGTCCTGGGTTCAGGGATAAAAATGTTTCTTTCCCTGGCTCAGGTCTCAAGTCCAGGGTGTGTTTCTTTCACTGGCTCTGGGTTCAGAGTCAGGGTGCTCAGTGATTGGTTGGTTTCCTGCTCCAGTTGTCCCTTTTCTCCTACATTAGTTACTTGTTGCTGTGGCAGAATTGCTGACAAAGGCAACCTAATTAAGGAAGGATTTAAATAGGCTCACATTCTGAAGGGATCCAATCCATTACAGCCAGAAGGCATCACAGGTGACTCCATGGTGGTAGGAGCGTGTGAATGGGATTGTTCTTTTGACTTCGGAGAGGCCTTCAGAAGAGGGCCAAGTGAAACTCAAAACCACTTTACTCTGCTAGGTCTGACCTCAAAGGTTCCATGACGTCCCAAAACACAGCCACCAGTTTGGGACCAAGTGTTCAGATACATCAGACTGGGTGATTGTTTCACATCTAAGTTATAAGTATTCACTTTATAACTACTAAAATCTTCACTTATAAAAGAGCTTACCAAGTTTAAAATTTTTTCACATGCACAACAAAATGAAAAGTAGAAAAATGTAGACGTGAGGAGACTTTAGATAAAGTGCTGCATTGCTGTAATGAGAACCCAGAGAAGAAGGGCGGGGACACTGTCAGCACTCTAGTCGTTATGTGTCCTTCGTTAGGATAGCGGGTATTTCTGTCCAGCTTCATCTTCCAAGGACTTCACTGTAGTGTAAAACCAACACTCATTTCTTGATGGCTTGTTTTAATTGCTATGCACATCAGAGATTAAATTGCATTTAAGAAGATGTATAGTATAGAGAAATTTCTCTATTACAGTTTAGAGCAAAACCACTCCCATTTTTATACTCTAAAAGCCTTAGGTAATAGGATTAGTTATTGAATGGTCCAGGTTTTGCTGTTACACTAGAGCAAGTAATTTCTACTTTATGAATAAGGTCTCAGAATTACAGCTGCAACTTCACACATGCTCTGTTTCTTTCTTGCAGTTCAGAGTAGGGTGATACAACTTTGTATTTAAAGATGTTAACTTTGCAACTTTAATTATTAGTATTCATTACTAGTATGAATTCATTACTAGTCATTCAAGATTATTCATTAGTCTTGCTTTTAACAATTTTTGGTTTGGATTAAAGGATTGAACTCTCCTTGCTTATTCTGTAATTATAAAATAATGACTGATTGCTAGGCATGTGTGCTAGAGAATCGTTATTAATGACCACAGCACATGCTATGGCACTTGGGGTGGACTTCTGTCACCAGTCACTGCCCTGATCACGTTCTGCTACCTCACATTCTTGCAGGCTGACATTCTGTCACATCTTTAGATGGTGTCTTCACTTGAACTCTCTGGCTTCAGTGAATAGCCAGACCCACCCTAATCTTCTTAAGGAGTCTTTGTCCTTTAATACATTGTGATCTAATTAAAAGGCGAGGTAACTGTTTCTGATACTGTCCTGTCATTCTGTTGTCTCATGGGAACCTGCGACTTAGATTTTTCTGATAGACTAAATGTTAGCTTAGTCTGATCAGTGGACATTTAAGAAGGGGAATTGTAAAGACATGCTCTAAGGTTCTTCTGAAACCTAAGCTGTGCAAAGGCGAGAACTTCATTGATTTTACAGGTAATGCCATTTGTCAGCTTGTGTGGTCCTAACCTGGGCAATAGAAAATAGAGAATTAATTGGATGGGATGATTCTGTTCTGATGAGATCACCTTACCAAGATATAATGCCATTTGCAGACAGACTCCAGGAAGTGCTAGGGACAACTCACCATGATATTAGATAGGCCATAAACCAGAAAACAGGATAAAATATGGAGGCAGGAAATAGAGGTAGGCATAAGAAAACCGCATCAAAATATCTGAAATGATGGTATTTAGATAGAGATGGCCTTATTTGTATAGATGATCTTATTGTATGGCCAGTTAATGGACCAGAGGTTAAGTACCACAGAGCTTATCTCTGGGCCCATTGTGTTGTACACAGGGGTGTGAGTTGCTTTGAAAGATGAGGTACAGTGAGTTTTCTGTGACAAGGGGTATTCTGGAGTAGGGTAGACAGCTACCTGTCAGGTACCAGTGAAGAATAACACACACTCTCTCTCTGACTCTTAGCCTATGGAAAGTTTTAAGAATAATTAAATAAATATTTGTATGCCTTTTGTCTTAGATTATACATACAATCTTATCTATGTTTGTATCTAGTTTATTTTTTAAAATATTATTTGATATTACTGAATTGATTTTTTTGAACCACTTGAAAGTAATTTGCATACTGAATGGCTTTATTACCTCCAAACACATCAGTATGACTCAAGAACAGGGTGTCTTCTTACATAATCACAATGAGACCCCACAATATCTTTGGACACTGGTTGCAGAATCTTAAGATCCTGGGCCTGTGGATTCTAAAATACATTGATACTCAATGCCTTTTATAAAATGTGTGTGTGTGTGTGAGAGAGAGAGAGAGAGAGAGAATGTGAGTGTGAGTGGAATTTGAAGATAGCCTCACATATGCCTTTAAACTATGCATAAATTATTTTATTATGAACTGTTTATCAAGTCTGTCTTCAGATATATGATTTTTAAAACTTTCCCCCCATGGAGGTTGCCTTTTCACTTTTGAAAAGTTTAGTTTGTGGACCTGTTGTTGGTTGGTTGATGAGGAACCATTGATCTGTTTTTCCCCTTTGTTGTGTTTTTGGTGTTCTTAGCCTAATGTCACAAAGATGTTCCATTTAAGAGTTTTGGCTTTTCTAAACCTGTGCTCCATTTTCAGTTAAAGTTGCCTATACTGTGGGGGTGAGCGAGAGGGCATCTGTTTCTGTGTATAGTACCAGTTGTAGTCCCAGCACCTTTGTGAGGAAATGCCTCTGTCTTCACTGACAGTGTTGATGGTCTTGTTGAAAATCAATTCAGTCAGCTCTAGAGCACTTGTGATTCCTCACACAGCTTATGCTGTGCAAACAGTTGTGTTGTGTTGCTCAGGGAACAGTGGCAAGGGATACAATGTTCAGAACAGATTCCTGGAATTTTCTTTCATTTTCAGTCTGTGGTTTGTTAGAACCCATGAGTGTCAAAGACTGACTCTAATGACCAACATCAGAAAATTTAGTACTAACAGATAAATCAAGGTATTGGAAAGATGGGTTGCTCAGCATCTGTGAGCACTTGTTTTTTTTTGTAGAAGACCCAGGTTCATTTCCCAGCATCCACATGGTATAGCCATGTACATAATGCGCGCGCGCACTCACACACACACACACACACACACACACACACACACACACACATTGGCAAAACAATCTTGTATATAAAAGGAAATAAATAAATCTAATATACAGACTGCACATCCCAATCTGTAATTGGAATGGCTGCAAGTTCACAGACTTTTGAATGCCATTATGCCTAAAACATTAAGGCCTTTGAGCGTTTCTAATTTTGAATATGGAACACTTTTCCAGAGAAGTTTGCACATATTCCAAAATCTTAAAAAAACTATGAAATTTTAAACTTTGAATGTTTAAATACTTTTTTAATCCCAAGAATTATGGATAAGGAGTATTCAGCCTTTTATAATATAATACGCATTTCATATACAAATTTTATCAGTCGTCCATATGACATCTATCCAATCTGGATCTAATCCATAATTCCATGTTGTATTTGTCATGTCTCTCCAGTCCCTTTTGTCTGAGACAGTACACGGCTTTTGTTTTATATAATATTGATCTTGTTGAGGAGAATGGCAACTTCGACTGAGGAAGGGAGAATTGCCTCAGCTTTGAGGCCTGCCTTGTCAATACTGAGTTCCAGGCCAGCTAGGGCTACATGGTGAGTCTAGTCTGTATGTATATTGGGGAGGGAACTTGTTGAAAAGACAGTTGTGCTTTTTGTTTTTTTTTTTTTTTGAATGTCCCTCGATTTGAGTTTTTCTTTCCATGCACAGGGGACAGGACATGCACAGGGGACAGGACGTGCACAGGGGACAGGACATGCACAGGGGACGGGACATGCACAGGGGACAGGACGTGCACAGGGGACAGGACGTGCACAGGGGACAGGACATGCACAGGGGACAGGACGTGCACAGGGGCCAGGAATACTAGGTAGGAGAGGTTGTTTTCTATGTCACTGCATTACATTAGGAAACATGTATTAGTTTGTGCCACTGTTGAGGCAGTTGACACTGACTAACTCTGGTACTGTTGTCTGCTGAAAAAAGTAGCTTTTTCCTTTGTCACTAGTAAGTAGACTCTGGAAGGGGGTAACATAAATATTTTGTTGACCAGTCAGTAAGCTTCTACTCATGAATACAATGTTCATTAATAACATTTGTCGCAGTCATTCATTTCTGTGGTGGTGACTACAGAGTAGATAATTCTTTCCCCAGGTGCTGTCTGTACTGTAACTGTGTTATTATGTAACCTGCTCCACCAAGTAGCTAATTGTTAGGATGAAGAGAGATTTAAAATGCAGGCAGGGGCCAGTGATTCCAGAGGCTAGGAGGTAGACCAGGTGTCCTGGGAGTTCCAGGCCAGCTTCAGCTACCTAGCACACTCAAGGCAGTCTGGGCTGCATGAAACCTCCTGTCAAAAGTCAAAACAAGCACTCAGCGAGGAAAACATTCCTAACGTTCAGCTCACTGTTCCCTTAACTGAAATGTCTATCTAAACAGCACATGAAAAGAGCTGTTTGGGGGCCCTCTACCCTAAACAGGAGCAGTTGCTTTTCATTGGCTGAGTCAGCAGTCTTCTTTGTGTATCATGAATAAACACAGGACAGGAAATGCCCAGGTACATTTCTGAATTCTTGCCCGTTTTCCCTCAGTTGTGAACCTCAAAATTGTAGAAATGAATATTAGTTTATTCCAATTTTTTTCATTTTTCTGTTATGTATACAGTGTTCCGCTTGCATGCATGCCTTCCAGAAGAGGGCACCTGGTTACACATTACACATGGTTGTGAGCTGTCATGTGGTTGCTGGGACTTGAACTCAGGACCGCCACAAGAACAGTCACTTCTCTTATCTTCTGAGTCATTTCTCCAGCCCCCGTGTTTTTTCATTTCTAAAGTCTGGAATATGGCTGTGCACCATCTGATTGTTGTTAGGCAGATATGCTTTATGCCAGACACTCATAAGTGGTTGGGATAATCAAGGGTGCAGATGAGTATCCTGCTTCCAGAAGGGTAATGCTAAGTGTGATAGTGTCATGCACAGGACTGGAGGGAATGCCACTGCTCTCAGAGTACTCATAGCTCAGTGAGAGGAAAGAGTGGCCAGAGCAATTCCAACCACAGAAGAAGCCACCAAGAGTCTGTGGAGAGAGAGAAATAGAGATAGATAGACACACAGATAGATAGACAGATGATAGATAGATAGATGTCTTCAAACCCTGTCTTGAAAACCAGTAGACAGCTAGATAGATGATAGATAGTGCTTGGGAATAAAAATATGACGTAGAAGATGATATGTATAACTGTAGTTATTAGTTCCAGCCATTCCTGTATAATGTGTGTGCTTGTTTAAATGTGTTTTGAGTAACAGCACACATAGTGACTAGCTCTTAATAAGCGTTCCTTTCCCCAGTTACCTGGGTCCTCATTGGCTTCTCTGCTCAGGAGAAGACTAGGAAACCTTCCTTAGCCATGAAGACTGTTATGGAATGACTCTTCTGGCCTTTGTGCATACATGTTAAGCTGGATTGCCAAGTATTTGCATGAACTTGCTTCTTTGTTGTTGTTATTTTGAAATCAGGTCTCATATGGTCTAAGTTGGCTTTAAACTTGCTATGTAGCACAGGGTAACGTTGGATTCCTGATCCTTTTGCCTCTGTGTCCCATGTGTTGGGGTTACAGGAGTATACCACAGTACTTGCCTAAAAAGACATTTACCGGCACTTGTTTTGCAATGCTAAGGATTTAACCTAGGACTTTGTATATGATACACAAGTTCTTTACCAGAGAGCTAAACTTTCAGCCTGAAACAGCGGCAGCTGCCACTGCCTCCTCCTTCGCAAACAGAACAAGTCTAGGCAGATGAGAGCTTGTTGATGCAGTCCACTCTCTCATCACATTGCAGCCGCTCTTCTGCATATAGGATTTCAGAACTAACATCAGAGACAGCAGCCTGCAAAGTCCCAGCCCTCCACTCTGTGGCCTTCCTTACCGCTTCATACCTGCCTTGTTATCTGTCTGTCTGTCTGTCTATCTACCTATTGTTTTTTAAGACAGTTTTTTTTCTTTTTTCTGTAGCCTTGACTGTCCTGGAGCTCACTCTGTAAACCAGGCTGACCTCAAATTAACAGAGATCTGCCTGTCTCTGCCTCCCTAGTGCTGGGATTAACGGCTTTCGCCATCACTGCTTGCCTTCTGCTTTGTATTTTATAAAATAACACCTATCTTAGTAGTTACAGAGGAGTGCTTGACACCTGGTATTATAGTATTTGTTAAATAGAAATATAATTGATGGGTTTTTTGTAGAAGTATGTAAGCTATTTGGATTCTTATAAAATAAACAGATACTTACTTGATTTGTACCCCTCACTACCAATTGCTGTTTCTTATTACTATTTCCTTTGTAACAGTTCTAGAAGTTACAAACCCCAATCGTCTCCTTTCCCAGGTAGATATAGTCGTATATATAGTAGTATTTTGATCATCAAAAGTTCATACTTGTTTGCTAAGTGTTATAAATGAGTAAATCCATAATGTCTTTGAATTGAAATTATGATTTCACCTAAAATTGAAGAAAATGGAGCTCATTGGGAATGAAAAGCAGAACTCCCAAATATAACTGCATTTGAATTTCAGTTCAAAACACTTGTATTTTCCACACTGTGATCAACTTATTCTTTACGCATCTTTGTTAAATAATTTTATTTATGGATTTGTGTGTGTATCTTTGTACATGTATTCCATGTGTGTATGTTGTATACCTACAGAAGCTAGAAGAGGGTGTCGGATCCCCTGGAGCTCGAGTTATAGGTGGTTGTAAGCTGCCTAAGTGTGTGCTGGGAACCTGTAGTCAGACTTTCCTTTGGGCTGCCATCTTGCTCCCAAATAATGACTTCTTATTAATGATGAGAGCTCAGCCTGTAGCTTAGGCTTGTTCCTAACTAGTTATTGTAACTTAAATTGACTCCTTTCTATTAATCTACGTCCTGCCATGTGGCTTGTGACTGTCAATGTCTCCTCCTACACGTTCTGCTTCACAGTCTCACTGGTGACCCTTTTGTGCCTCAATTACCTCCTCCTCTTCCTTCCTTTCCCTGGAAATCCCACCTATACCGTCTGCCTAGTTATTGGCTGTTCAAGTTTTATTACACCAATCACAGCAATACACCTTCCCCACAGTGTACAAATATTCCCTAACAGGAACCCAACTTGGGTCCTCTGCAAGAGCAGCTTTTTAACTGCTGAGCCATCTCTCCAGCCCCTCTTTATAATATGATGAATTTATCTTTATCTCTGTAAAGCATTTTTCAGTAGGATTGCACTAACTGTAGAGTAAGACTTTTTTTCCCTTGCAGCTGTGGAAAGGACTCAACAAAGGAAGCTTGAAGAAATGCTTTTAGACGCAGCAAGAGAAGGGAGAACAGTCCAAGTATCAGCTCTGGTAACAAGAAACATTCTTTTCATATGTTAGTAGTTTTTCCTTAAATGTTACGTTCATAATTCAGTCACTGTGGGAGGAAACTTCTTCGTCACACGAGAAGTGTGACACACATACCCTCGCCTGGCAGCTAAGCCAGGGAATAGTTTAGGAGCTTTACCTGCTGATGGGTCTCTGAATTTTTGTTTTATTTCCTCTTCCCCAATCAAAAACCTGATGTTTAAGAACCCAGTTTCTCATAGCAAATAGATAAGGTAAAGAAATTTTTTTTTTCAGATTAAGCCCATTTAAATTTGAAAACAAATTCCAGGTGCTCTCAAGCAGAAGGTTTTCCTCATTTCAATGAGCAGTAAACTCTGAAAGCGCATTGTCCTTCTAGAAGAGCAGCTTACCTAGAAGGGACAGTGTTGGATCAAGTACTCAGACAAACTGACAAGCTGACAGTTTCACTGTTCTTATCTTCCTGGGAGACCTACTTTCCCGTTTCTATTTCCTGCATGGTCTCATTAGATAAGGAGACTCTAAATTTGTTCTGAATTCAAGACTAAAGCATTGCCATTTGCTTTAAAGTTATTTCAGTCCCCTCAAAAACACTTCTTCGGTTTCTAAGTATAGTGCCTGCAGCATTCCGGGTCTTGTGAAATGGAGACTATATAGAGCTTGCTAACGCAGTGAGGTGGGGGCCTTGACATTTCTGCTTCTAGCATCTCTGGGTTGGGCTCATCTTGGGGACTGTTGCTGGGTGCTGTCACAAGACAGCAAGCATGTTAGTGAAATCTTTTTTTTTTTTGCTGTTGTTGTTGTTATTTTTTTTGAGACACATGTTCTTGTAGTCCTGGTTGTCCTGGAACTTGATCTGTAGACCATTTTGGCCTCAAACTCAGAAATATGCCTACCTCCGCCTCCGTGTGCAGGGATTAAAAGCATGTAGCACCACTGTGAAATCTTAATGTGAGGGGTAGGTGGCTGGTGCTACTGTCATGTATGGTGCCAGGATACAGACCTCAGATCTCCTTGCTCCTGAGGACAAGCAGGGCAGGCTGAGGAATGGGCCAAAGGGGCAGAGTCTAATTGTGTGAGAGCTCTGCTGTCCAGCGGAATCTGCTGTCCTGTGACTCTGCTGTCCCGTGGGCTCTGCTGTCCAGCAGGATCTGCTGTCCTGTGAGCTCCATTGTCCTGTGAGCTCCACTGTCCCGTGGGCTCTGCTGTCCCGTGGGCTCTGCTGTCCCGTGAGCTCCGCTGTCCCATGGGCTCTGCTGTCCCTTGGGCTCCGCTGTCCCGTGGGCTCTGCTGTCCTGTGGCTCTGCTGTCCTGTGGCTCTGCTGTCCCGTGGGCTCCGCTGTCCCGTGGGCTCCGCTGTCCCGTGGGCTCCGCTGTCCTGTGGCTCTGCTGTCCTGTGGCTCTGCTGTCCTGTGGCTCTGTTGTCCCGTGAGCTCCACTGTCCCGTGGGCTCCACTGTCCCTTGGGCTCCGCTGTCCTGTGACTCTGCTGTCCTGTGAGCTCCACTGTCCCGTGGGCTCCGCTGTCCCGTGGGCTCCGCTGTCCTGTGGGCTCTGCTGTCCTGTGGCTCTGCTGTCCTGTAGCTCTGCTGTCCCGTGAACTCCACTGTCCCGTGGGCTCCACTGTCCCTTGGGCTCTGCTGTCCTGTGACTTTGCTGTCCTGTGACTCTGCTGTCCCGTGGGCTCCCCCTGTGGGCTCTGTTGTTCCTTGAGCTCCATTGTCCCGTGGGCTCCCCCTGTGGGCTCTGCTGTCCATTGTCCCGTGGACTCCTCCTGTGGGCTCCACTGTCCCATGGGCTCTGCTGTCCTGTGACTCTGCTGTCCTGTGACTCTGCTGTCCCGTGGGCTCCCCCTGTGGACTCTGCTTTCCTGCAGGCTATGCTTGAGCCTTTCTTTGGTATATAATCACATTGTGTTCCTTTGTTAGCTCAGCAGGCCCAGTCCTCCCAATGTGAACTGCTCGGATCAGTTAGGAAACACCCCCCTGCACTGTGCTGCTTACCGGGCCCATAAACAGTGTGCCTTAAAGCTCCTGAGAAGTGGAGCTGACCCCAACCTGAAGAACAAAAATGGTGAGCATGCTGATGAAAGTCGACCTTGGTCATTTTGACTCTATACAATGAAATCAGTACTATTTAAAATGATTTTGTTGGGATCCAGCCTTTGATAAATTAAATGATGTCATTTTAAAATAAGAACATTCACAAATGTAAAAGAGCGACATTTTCTTCTCCTTTAAGACTTAGCTAGTAATGCACTCCCTACTCCAAATGAGACCAGTATTGAACAAGGTAATCCTTCCATCAGGGAAATGATAGGTACAATTGATTGATATTCCATAAGGTTACCACCAATACTGAACTAGAGAATTTTGAACCACTGTTTTAGGAGAACCTAGGGTTAGATTATCCTGGCATTTTCATCCAGGGATCAGTATATGGCCCTGTTTTATGAGTGTCACTGTGTAAGATCACCTATGTAATATGTGTTGCCAGTCCATTAACACTTAGGTCCTGGCCAACAGTGCCTCAGCCTGAGCACAGCGTCTCTAACTCAGGTCTCCCCTTTAAGGCACTTAGGAACACAGCCCAGCATTTCAGCATGGTTAGGGGCCATTTCATATGAGAAAGTCACAAGCAAAACACTCTAAAACATGACACTAAATACACTGTAATAGGGACGTGTGGCACTGCCTGGACTGAAAGGAGAGCATCGAGTTTTCCTTGTTCCACTTCAGCTTGTAGAACAAACTGCAAAAGCTAGTGTTGGGTGATTCAGATTTTTCACTATTTTGGAGATATCTGTGAATATCCAAAAAATTGCCTAAAATAATTGACTTTGGGGTTTGTCCATCCTTTTTAGCAGCATGTAGATTGGAAGCTGCTGATGGGATAGCCTTGTTTTGAATGCTTTTGATGCTTTTGTGCTTTTCTTCTGGTCATTCGGTGCTGACTGTCGTCCTGCTTTGCTGCGCAGTTGCATAGGACTTGGGAAGGTGTTTAGGGTCCTAGCTAAAGTTCTGTTGGGACTAAACTGGAATTTGCTTCTGTGCAAGTGAACTTGAAGAGACATGACATTTTTGCTGAATTTTCCCATCAGTGAACAAAGATGTTTTATTTTTGTTTTGATAACACATACTCACACATGCACATGCACACATGCATGCATGCATGCACACATTCCTTTTGAAATCGCTGATTATAAGTTCATGTAGGTAGGAAGCCTACTGGATTAGTTCTAAATTTGCTTTATTGAATTCTTGTGTGCTTGGCCCTGTAGACACTGAGTCCAGAGATGAGGCTCTGAGATTTCATCTAGTTGGCAGCAGCTCAGAATTTATTTTTGGCATTAGGGCAGAATTCTATGAAAGAAATCATATTATCATCTCTCCCTCTGCGGGAAGGATAGTTTCTCAAAAGTGCCCTGCAGATAGGATGAAAATAACAAAATTGGCAGACCGTTATCTTTCTAGGTGCGGTGTAGAAACACTGAACTGATGACTGATTTCTCAGTGAACATTTAAAAAGGGTTTTTCTCCTCACTGATTAAGAGGATGCCAGCAGCCACAGCTGAGTCAGTGGTTCTTTAAGTCACACCCTTGCTTGTCCTCTCATCCCTCCCCACCCTGGCTACCTTGGGGCCATTCCGGAGAGCTGTCCCACTGTTCCCTTGGTAAATATTTGATATGTTAGTAAAAGGTAAGGACTAGAAGATGATTTAATTATGCCCTTTAAATTAGAATTGTATAGTGTGTAGAATTGTATGACATGCAAATTTCTATGTTGGTAGAGCTGTTACAATAATAGATCAATCAGTTAATACTGTAATTTCTGAAAATCAAGAAATAACTAAAGTTTACACTTTTAAACATTTTGACAGAATTTAAATATCTGTCAGATCATATTATTCCTAGTCTTGAGATCCTCCAGAATCTATCCATCGTGTAGAAAACACAGTTTACTTCCATGGGCTCATGGACTTCTGACTTTGTGGGGCTGCTTGCCGTCTCTCTTGTCTTCTGTCTTGTTCCTCCCTCAGGGCTGTTGCATTAGCACCTGCCCTTTTCAGTCTAACCATCCCTGTGTCAGAGAGGGCATCCAGAATCAGTCCCTCACCTTCTACCTGAAGTGGGGGCTATTGTCTGTCAAATCTGTCATTAATTAAATTAGCATACCATGGTATATTACCTATTATGTCTCTTTTATTATAAATTTATTGCCATCTTCTATGTTGTTCATTGCTAAATCACCAATGCCTTAAAATGGCTATTGGCACATAACAGAATTTCATGAAAAGAAATAGAAACAAATATAATAATATGATGACTACATACCAGGTATTTGTTGTTTTTAAAAGAATTTAACAGCTAACCGGAAGGTAACAAGTAAATATAAAGCTTAAACCAATTGACTATGAGACAATTGGTCTGTATTGTTTTAAACTGATAAGCTTGTGGCAATTTGTTATTCAATCAGAAAAGTAATAGTAGTCATTTAAGGCCAGAAAATCTGACTGGGCACAGAACCAGTACATAGAGTTCTGAGGAGAATTGAATTTTCTGATCTAAAAGGAGGCCTTAAAGAACCAAGAGGGTGACTTCTGCAGTGAGTTTGGTTTTGTCGGTGGTGAAGAGTTTTTGAAGCATGAAGGAATATTGTATGGTAGAGTTATATGAATTTTTTTGTGTAGTTGACATAGTGACTTTTTCCCCTTGTGAATTTTACACAGATCAGAAACCTCTAGATCTTGCCCATGGTGCTGAAATGAAGCATATTCTTGTTGGCAATAAGGTGTGTATTGGTCAATTCATTCAGTGAGGTTTAGGGGGGAAATTGAAGGAGTGCTTAAGTTCTGTCGATGTGTCTTTAATGAGATGTATTTCCAGCAGGTCCCCTACAGAGCGCTGCGGAGATATGAAGGTCCTCTCTGGAAGGTAGCGTGGGCCAGCTTTAAGTAGGAAGCTGGAAAGATTCTTACTGCCTTTTCAGTGATTTCAGACATACAGCATGTCCCTGACTGACAATGGTCTGTGTCTTAGTTAGGGTTCTATTGCTGTGAAGAGACACCATGACCATGGCAACTCTTATAAAGAAAACATTTAATTAAGCGGAGGCTCGCTTCAGAGGTTCAATCAGTTCTCATCATGGCAGGGAGCATGGCGGCGTACAGGCAGACATGGTGCTGGAGCTGAGACTGCTTCATCTTGCAGGCAGCAGGAAATCAACTGAGAGTCACGCTGTGCAGTATCCTAAGTATAGGAAGCTTCAAGACCCGCCCCCACTGTGACACACTCCCTATGAGATTATGGGACTATAAGATTGTGGGGCCAATTACATTCAAAGTACCCCAGTCTGATTTATGAGGTTTTGACTTTTTAGTGCCATTAAAAGGATGTGCACTGATAGCAAGTATACTGTGATTTGTAATTCTGATCTTTTCTTGGCCTGGTAGTGTGCTGTGACATTCTTGTGGTGAGCTGCAGTTCGCAGTCAGCCATGTGGCCTTGAAGGCAGCAACCAAGACTGCACAGCACTTTGTTGCCATGATACTTTACATGGTGTGTTGTATGTTTTTACCACCCTGCAGTGGTGTACATTGCCAGGCATGCGCAGGCTCAGAACGCTCTCCACTCTGAGCTACACCATTTTAGTTATAGTATTTTCAAGACACGATTGGCATACCCAGGCATAAGTTGAGGAGGCTCTCTGTAGATGATCGAGACCTTGGGTCTGATATTGTAAGCCACTTTTATACTCTTGCATTTCAAGAGGCTTCCTTTCATTGCATCAACACTTTATTTAGGCTGGTTGGTTTTTTTTTTAAGAGTCAACCCTGCTAGCACTTAGTATTATGTTTACATCTGTAAGCAGTCCCTGTATATGAAATTTTTGTATTTTGTAATTATATAAAATGAATTTAGGTTAATTCTTTTCTTTAAACAGTCATCCACAACTTTGAGGGAATTGTGCTCAAAGCCCAGAGCTGCTGTTTTCTGTAAATAGCCCCGGACAGACCCGTTAGAGCTGTGTACTGTGGCCTTACCAGTGTGGCGTCCTTTTGTGCCCTGTAGTGAACCCTGTAGTGAGGGTCTCTTGTCGTTGCTCAGTTTCATTACTGTCCATTGTGCAGTCCTCCTGCCTAGCCGACAGGATGTGTCTGTTTGAGCTTCATTCTTTTCGTTATTACATATTTGAATCCAGATGCATCAGCATGGAAAATCTTTATCATTTTTCTGTAGAGTTCAAGATTTTTTGGCTGGAAGTTATTCTGGGTAGTGTTAGAACATGGAGTTCTTTCCTGGTATAGGAAACAGTGAGTATTCGTATGCTTAATAAATTTCAGAATATAAATTTTAAAATACTAAAAATTTTCATTTATTTCTTTTTCTTTGTCTTAATTTAATTTTTGTTTCTGAAGGTCTGACGCAGTCCGTAATACTTACCGCCAGGGATGCAAGCACCTGACTCAAGCAGTGTGCACGGTAAGAGACTGCTTAGTGCAGACTGTCATTGCAGAACTCTGGAGATTCATGGGATCTATGTGTGTTTTTACACTTAGAATAATCGAAGTTAAAGAATCTCTGTTTGTGTGCGTGCACCCCCCCATCATCCTGTTTATTTCCACTGTAGCGTTAGAAACAGGTGATCTGTAAGCATCTAGACAGAGTGGTAAACATTGGCGATACACGTGTGTCTTTTTCATGGGAACATCTGGACGATGGAAGTATCTCTGAGGCTGCAATAGAACTGAAAGCCCATGCCGAAGTCAGGACTCCTAAGTTCTTTGTACTCGCCTCCAGTTGTTTTATTTTACTGTCCAGGAGACTGAGATGTCTCTATCTACCGGTGCACAGGCTCCTTCAGTCCAGTAGTGCTGTGGCAGCAGCAGAGCAGCTCATCTGCCCTCCAGTGCACACCCCTTGCCTCTCCCATGCCAGTGCTCTTGGGATCAGCAGCCCTCCTTCAGTTCAGGATGCCCCTGTGACTGAGTCGGGCCCACTCACAGGCCCTCCCGTCTTGTCCACTCCAGAGCAGAGCTGCTCACCTTGCCCTGTGCTCTTCTGTCGCTGCCGTCCTGCAGGTTCTCTTCCGTGCCCACTCCTGTTCTACTCTGTACTCAGCTTCTTACCCTGTTGGGGTCGTTTTATTATTTCTTTTTTCACAAAACAAACTTGTTAGTTTCTCCCCTCTAGTTTTTAACACTTCTGTCATTGACTTCTGTGGAATTTATTAGGTTCTGTTGTGTGCCAGTTCTGTCACTTCTAATTTTTTATGCAGTGGTCTGCTTCCAACTTCATCTGTGAACCATATCAGCACAAGCTAAAGAGACTCATTGAATACTGACACTATAAATAAATCAAGCTATGTTCAGTTTCTAGTTTCTTAGGATAGACACCTAGGTTGATCTACATCTTTTATATAGATATTCCTACCCTTAACTGACCTTTAAAAATTACAATAAAATTTCTATACTATAGAATGTAACATTAACTATTTTACATTCCGTGGTTCAGTGGCATTACATATACTGCACTGTTCTGCACCTGGCTCTAGGAGTTTTTCATGTTCCCACATGGATGCTCTATTGCATACAAACTTCTACACCCTCAACTATTGCTGTCCATTGCTGCACTTCTGTTTCGAAGGACTTGACCATTCCAGGTACCATGTATAAGTGGAATCATATGTTTGTCCTTTTGTGATAGGCTTTTTTCACTTAACATAGTGTCCTTCAGATTCATCCATGTGTGACATGTTGATAGAATTTCCTTCTTTTATTTATGAATTAAGAATTGTATTTGTGCTGGGTCATTTTGGTGCCTTTAATCCCAGCACTCAGGAGGCAGAGGCAGGTGGATCTCTTTGAGTTCAAGGCCAACCTAGTCTGCCAAGTGAGTTCCAGGACAGCTAGAGTTGTTCCACAGAGAAGTCCTGTCTCAGAAGACAAAACAAACAAAAAGCTGTAGTTGTAGAAACAGCATACCTTATAAGTTACTGTTTTAACTGTTGTCAGTGTGGGGTTCAGTAGTTTTAACTGTACTCAGTTTGCTATGAAACAGACTTCTAGAACTTTTTTCTCTCATGACTAGACTATGCTTATTGTGTATTCCCCATATTCTGTCTCTGCAGACGCTGTTAAGCACCATCCTGCTTGCTATTTCGAGCTTAACTGTTTTATGTGCTTTATGGTGGAGAATCATGCATATTTGTGTCTTGATGGTTAGCCCATTCCACTTAGCATAACCCCTAAAGATTCACCTGTGTGGAGGCATAGACAGTTTTCTTTTCAGGAATCATTCTCCTTTGTACTCATACACTACATTTTATTTATTCATTATTCATCTGTCAGTGAACAGTGATGTAATGAACATGGGTAGAAATTCCTTTGAGAATATATTCGTAAACATAGACCTGCTGGTTTACATGATGGTTGTAGATTTGGTATCTGGAGGAGCCCTCTCTACCAGAATAGCTTGGTCCTTTATTTTCCTACCAGTAATGCTGGAGGATTTCATATCTCACCAAAGCTGCCTACTGTTGTTTTGGTTAGTGGCCATTGTAGTGGGTGTACTGTGGTATCTCATTACAGTTGGGATTTGCCTTTCCCCATCCTGGTGGTGTTTGGCATCATTTAGATGCATTTTGAACGTTTGTGAACAATTTTTGGAGAAATATCTGCTTAAGTCCTTTGCCTGGTGTTCAGTTCAGTTGTTTCTTTTTTGATGTTCTGTCCTGGGTGTTCTTTCTGACCGGATATTCGTACACATGATGATGTGGTGTTTTTTCACTCTCAATGATCTTTTCATTTGGGTGATCATGTCCTCTGCTGTACGGAGGATTTAGATTTTGACAGTCTCATTTACCTGTTTCCCTTGGTCACTTCTACAGTAACACTTTGTGTAGGATAGCAGTTCAGGCTCACTCACACAGTTTCCATCCCTTACATTTCCTTTCATCAATTTCATTCTTCAACTTTAGACACTGTCAGCTGATCTGCTTAATTTTTGGCATGCCATACAGTACAGTTCAGCTTCATTCTTCTGCCTGGGGATGTCCAGTTGTGCTCACACCATGTTTTTAAGTCTGTGCTCCCCCACCCCCAGCATGCTTTTTAAAATCCTTGACTATACACGAGGTCTGCCTTACTGCGTTGGCTCATGTCCCTGCGTATCATTACAGTTTTCTTCACGGTGGCTTTGCAGTATGTTTTAAACTGAGGAAGTTTTGGGCCTCAAACTTTTTCATTACTTACAAGATTGTTTTGTCTGTTTGTAGATTGTTGAAAATCCATGCAGATTTTATGGAATTCCCAGCCATTATTTTTTCACTGTTGCTATGGAAACGTCTTTTCTGACCTGTCAGTAGTGCTACACTCAGGGCTTGCCGACTTCCGCAGCAGCCTCAGATCACCTTTTAGCATTGTGAGTGCTACCCAAAGGGAGGCTGCTTCATGTAGCTCAGGTTGGCCTCAGACTCCCTGTCTAGGGAGGATAGGTGACTTTGAACTCCTGATCTTTCAGTCCCCACCTTCCAAATGCTAGGGTTACAGGCATGCACCCCCATGCGAGGCATAGATATAAAATTAAAACAAACAAAAAATAAAACTTTAATTTCTTGGATTTAATTTGGTTTCTCATAGTTTGGTGGGATTTTGGTGAGTACTGGGATTGAACCTAGGACCTTGTGCATGCTCTCATAGTTTCTTCAGGTTGAAACTTAAAATAGTGAGATGAAACTTCTGTACTAACAGTTTTAAACCACATTTTTCTATTTGTAGCTGTTTTGATTTCTCCCCACTAGCTTTGGTAGTTTTTTCGTTATCATTTAAGAGATTTTCTAATTTCTGTTGTGATGATTATTATTTAAAAGATTTTCTAATTTCTTTTGTGATTTCTGCTTAAAGTCAGTAAATAATTCTAAAAATTAGAAGTGTGAGTTTGACTCCCAAATAATCAAGCTTTTTGGTTATCTTGTTCTTGATTAATAATTGCATTTAATTTGGAATATACACTGTATGATCAGACACACTGACTTCGTTCAATAGCTGTGCTTATGGACTATAATAGTAGTGCATTTGTATTGACATTGTAAAGATAGATGTCTCTGCTGTGAAAAGCTTTCGTTGCTTTTGCAGAGAATATTTTCTAGCACCTGTGTAATGGTTCACACCCATCTGTAACTTTAATGCCAGGGGGTCCAGTACCCTCTTCTGACCCCTGCTGATACTGTACCAATGTGGTGCATATATATATATATATATATACATGCATAAAATTAATACACATTCAATAAAATGCATCTTTAAAAAGAGACAATATTTATTTCGCTACTCTTAAGTAAAATAGCTATTAAGTTGTGTCATGTGATGTTCACATTGTTTATTTCTCTGGTTTATTGCCAGTTGTTATCAATGGCTGAAGTATTAAGATGTCATCTGTATGTGTGGAGTTTTATATCTGTAACTGTTTCTGTTTGCAGACTTGTTGATGATGTTTTCCTAATTGACATTTTGTTTTGAGATTGATTTTGTTTGATGTTAAATGACCAGCCTGGCCTTTTTGTTTCCCATCCATTTATTTTGAACCATCTGTCTCTTGTGGGTGGGTTATACTTTAGTTCTTTTTCCATTCCAGCAGCTTTTGACTATTTTGGTTTGTTGAGACAGGGTTTCTCTGTGTAGCCCTGACTGTCCTGGAACTCACTCTGTAGACCAGGCTGGCCCTGAACTATCAGAGATTCACCTACTTCTGCTTCCCCAGTGCTGGGATCAAAGGCATGCTCCACCACCTGCCTCACCAACCTTTGAAGTTTCATTAATCATTTTGAGTGTGTTTTGCTTATTTGTCCTCTTATTAGGTCCCTTCCAACGATATCCTTGGTATAATGAATTTTAATGTTCTGGAGAGTGGATACTGTTACGTGTCTTTATTGAATCATTTTCTTGGTTTACTCTGAAGTATAAACCAGAGTCTCAGTTCAGATTGATCTAGTTGGGTGAGTTCTGAATCTGTTCTGTGTTCATGGGTTGGTTAGTGATGTGAACAGAGGGTTAGCGAGATCTCCAGACTATTTCTTCAGAGATCGTCCTTCTCTCTCGGGTGGTTTTGGCTGTCCAGCTTTGCCTTATTGGTTCTCAAAGACAGCTGACTGCCTCAGCTGTGCCCTTGCAGCTCTCATCTCCCTGTGTGGGCTGCAGGGGAAACACCTTGGGTAATGGGAATGACGTCCATAGATTCTGACTGTGGCTTCTCTAAGAGTGTCCCTTCTCTTGTCTATGGATGGTGGTTGCCATTCCAGCTTCTCCTCTGCTGGTTTTGTTCTGGGTGAGGGGTGAGCAGTGGAGGTCTACAGAATTGTCTCATAGTTATTCTCTACTGGCGTTCCTGTAGTAGAGTCTTGGGACAGAAGTCCTTTCCTTATATTTTTAAATACCTTCCATTTCTAAGTTTTTATTAAAAATGATTATTTCTAATTCTTTTTAACCTCCTTTACCACCTCTTCATCAACCTCACCTACCAATTACTCCTGTATACTCAGCTCAAACATTTTCTAGAAAGAAAGAAAAAATCCATCAAGAATGGTACGAAGAAATTGGAGCTTTGTTATGTAGAGAGTTGTACAGCTCAAGTACATCCTAACGTATACTTACTGGGAAGTAAGCCTAATGCTGCAGACCCAGTGAACCATGGGTACTTTCCTGGAGCGACTAAGGTGATGGCCAGGTTGGCACGGATAAATTGCAGGGCCGAGTCTTCTAGGTGATCTGCTTCTTTGATTTTTATCAGCTTTTGAGACTGTTCATAGTACTTACATTGTGTTAATATGTTGACTTTTGTGATGGATAATTTCAGAGACTTTGTTTATCAGTGAGTGAATGTTTTTTGACTTCTTTGTATCCAGGTGAAACCCACAGATAGCTGCCTCTTCTCCATCAGATGCTTCGATGACTCGGTTCATGGCTTTAGGGTTCCTAAGAACAGCCTTCAGCAGTCACGAGAGGTAAGCTTCTCATGCATCAACTTCGTTAGCTTTCCCAGAGCTCAAGCACATTTCCTCAGTATTAACATCGAAGATCTTGTTGATTATACTTATTAAAAATAGATTTATTGAAAATGGAGGCCAGTAAGATCTCAGTGGGTAGAGATACTGGCCACCAAACTGGTGATGTACATTTCCTATCCAGGACCCATATGCTGTGGCACACATAGACTTGGGAATAAATGTATAAATATAACTAAAATTTTTAAAATAAATAAGATTTACCTGTTTATTTGTGTGTGTGTGTGTGTGTGTGTGTGTGTGTGTGTGTGTGTGTGTGTATTGTATGTATGTTTGTGCATGAATACAGCTGTGTGTGTAGAGGTCACAAGACAACTTTTGAGAATTGATTCTTCTATCTTGATGAACAGGTTGTTTTTCTGCTGTTCTGTGTACTTCAGGCTAATTGATCTGCAGGCTTCTGCGTAATTCTTCAGTACCTCTTTGCATTCTACTGGAATGCTGGGATTTCAGATAGGAGCCATCACATCCAGCTGGGTTCCAGGAATCACACTCAAGTCACCTGACTTGTGTTGTGAGCACATGCATCCAGGGAGCCATCTCACCAGTCCCCACTTTTTTAAATAGAGTTTTTGATGTATTTATTGTTGTATTCTCACTTTGTTTGCATCTGCACGATCATATGTATGCTAGTGCGTATGCAAGACAGGGGAAGACGGGCTACCACCGTTTGGCAAGAGAATTTCTTACTGACCTGGAAACTTGGTTCTTGCCCAGTAGGTCAGAGAAGCCAGGGATCCCTGGGAATCACTTGCCTTATGCCTCTGGCCTTTTGCAAATGTTTTAGATACTGAATTTAGGTCTTTGTGCTGGTGAGTTATTGTGATAGCTCCCCAGCCCTGACAATGATACTTTTTATTAGGAATAATCCTATGAAGTTTTTAAAATTTGGTTTTGGTTGTTAAAAACTAAAACAAGTAAATATTTTCTGCTTTTAATTTTTTTGTTTTGGCTCATACTGACTTTGGGGGATAAAGATTAAATAACTGTTTAAAAGCATAGCCCTTAAACTATAAGAAAACTGTAGCATGGAAAAATTGCCCAAGAATGTGCAGTTTGTATGTCAGAAAATATGAAGTAGAATCCAATTGTTGGGAGGCCAGTTGCAGTATAGTCTAAGCCCACTTCACTCTCTCTGACTTCCTCCCACATTTTCCTCACCTCCCTATCCACTCAACTTTACCCACTTTCTCTCTCTCTCTCTGGTTCTCTCTCTCTCTGGCTCTCTCTCTCTCTCTCTCTCGCTCTCGCTCTCGCTCTCTCGCTTTCTCACATCTAGGCTGTTTCAAATTCTGGTTATTATGAATAGAGCAGAAACAAACAAGGATGAGCAAGTATCTCTATAGTAGAGATTTTGGGGTCTATATCTAAGAGTGATATAGCTGGATCTTGAGGTAGGTCTAATCCAGTTTATACACCAGCAATGATTAACTGTTCCCCTTCCCCATATCCTCACCAGCATGTGGTGTCATTTGTTTTTTTTAATGGTAACTATTCTGACAGGTCTCAAAGTAGACTTGAAATGCAAATGGCAACTAAGGATGTTGAGCTGTTTGTGTTTCGTCCTTTGAGAGTTCTTCTTAGTTCTGTAAAATCCAGTTTTATAAAATGTGTTTGTATGTGTGTGTGTTTTTCGAGACAGGGTTTCTGTGTAACAGCCCAGCTGTTCTGGGACTTACTCTGTAGTCCAGGCTCACCTTGAACTTACAGAGATCCATTTGCCTCTACCCCCTGAGTGATAGGGTTAAGGTAGGATTAAGGGTGTGTGCCACTACCACCTGGCAGTTATTTATTTTCATGATTTTGAGGTTTCTCTCTGTCTCTCTTTCCATCCCCCTTCCCTCCCTCCCTTCCTTCCTCCCTCTCTCCCTCCCTCCCTCCTTCCTTTCTTCCTTCCTTCTTTTGTTCTTTGTATAGTTTAGATACCAAGCCCCTAGCAGATTTTTTCCTTTCTGTATGTTGTTGCTTTGCCCATATATCTTTTACCCAAGATATATATATATATATATACATCTTTTACCCAAAAGATGTAGTCTTTTGCCTTTCAGAAGCTTTTCAGCTCCACGAGGCCCCATGTACTAATTGTTACTCTTAGTGCCTGTGCTATTGGTGTCCTCTTCAGAAAGGCCTTTCCTGTGTCAATGAGTTCAAGCCTATGCCTACTTTTTCTTTTACCATATTCAGATATCATATCATATCTATTCTTGTCCTTGATCCATTTGGAGTTGTGTTTTGTACAGGATGCTAAATATGGATCTATTTCTATTCTTCCACATGCAGCTATCCAGTTTGATCAGCACCATTTGTTGAGGGTGTTGTCTTGTCTCCAGTGTGTATTTTTTTACTTTGTCAACATTCAGGTTTTCTTAGTTGCGTGGACTTGTATCTCTGTCTTCAACTCTGTTCCGTTATTCAGCATGTCTGTTTTCACACCAATACCATGCAGTTTTTACTAGTATAGCTCTGGAGTGAAACCTGCGGCCGTTCTTTCATTAGTTGCTATTGTTTTAGCTATCTTTCTTGTGTGTGTGACAAATCATTATGAGACGAACAACCTCTGAAAATACCATTGAGTTCGTTTTGTATTGGCCGTCCACTGCTAGGCCTGGAGCCTGTCCTTTAGGGTGGGTTGTATACCCAATGAGATTCCATTGGAGAAGACTAATTTTTCCTTTGGGAGTTTTTATCTATTGGAGATAGTAATTATACAGTGTTTTTGCTTCCTCTTCTGTAGTTTCCCTGAGTTCTGAGGGGAGGGAGTTGATGGAGAAATCTCATTTAGGACTGAGTGTTCCAAGGTCTCTTACTCTCCGCACTTTGATGTCTTGTGAGTCTTTTTGTTCCCATCTACTGGAGGAAGAAACTTCTCTGACAATGGCTGAACAAGACACTGCTCTATAAGTATAACAGAATATCGATAGTAGTCATTTTACTGCTACGTCCCTTTAGCAGAATTTCTCCTATTTAATTTCAAGTTGTGGGCATCCAAGTAGTATTGGGTATGGGTTTCATCTCATAGGGTGGGCCTTAAATCCAGTCAGATCGTTGGTTGGTTATGTCCACTATGGCACCAGTGTATCTTGCAGGTAGGCCACCCTGTAGATTGAAGACTTTTAGGTTGGTTTATGTTTGCCTTTCTCCTCTGGCAGTGTGCAGAGTGCTTCCAGTACCATGAACATTAGTCAGTAGGGGTGAAGGCTCTAGGTACGCAGCAGCTCAGGTTCTCCATGAGTTGTCTAGCTGTTGTCTTCAGCAGTAAGGCCTTACTATAGTTTGAGAAGAGCATCCCATAGTCTTGGCAGTAGCATGGATGGTCTGGGTTGTCCATCTGGCCCCTTAGGCAAGAAACTTGATTAGATGTAACCCATTCCCAGAATTGGAGGTTTCATTTGTTGATGAGAGATTCTAGTTGGGGCTTTGTCTCTCCTGTTATTTGGTGTTTCCATTTAGATTTTTTTCATATATGTGCATATTTTAACAAGTTCCTACTGTTAGGTTTTCATACAACCCCTCAAATGACCCTTATATTTAGCTATTCCCTCCTTCATGCCCCTCTTCCCTCCCCCTCCCTATTTGATCATCCTGTTCTATACCTACTTCTGTTCATTAACTATCTATTCAATTTATCCTACCTAGGAAGATCCACCCCACCAAGTCCATTACCCTATACTTAACCTCTGTGGTTCTATGGATTGTACCTGCTTGTTGAATGAGACTTCATAGTTAACACCCCATATAGTAAATACACACCATAGTTGTTGTTTGTACTCCACTCAGGAGAGTTTTTTAGTTCCAACCATTTACCTGCAAATTTCACAATTTCATTTTTTTAACAGCTGAAAAATATTCCATTGTTTAAATGTACCATATTTTCTTTATCCTTTCTTTTGTTGACAGATATCTAAGTTGTTTCCAGTTTCTGACTGTTATGAATATAGTAGCAATAAACATGGATAAGCAAGTATCTAGAATGATATTGCTGAACCTTGTGGTAGATCTAGTCCTAGCTTCCTGAGAAGCTACAACACTGGTTTCCATAGTGCTGTACAAGTTTGTACTCCCAGCGGCAATGGATGGGTGTTCCTCTTATGATAGAGTACACATTTTAAAGTATATTTTTATGATTCTCTGAATTTCCTTTGTGTCTGTAGTAATGTCCCCCTGTACTGACTGGCTCTGCGTGTCAACTTGACAGATTGGTACTAGGGTAGTGAGGTGTTGCTGTGCTAGTCTTGATGATGTTCCGAGGAGGACAGTGGAGGGGCTTTGGAACTTCGGGTAGAAGAGTCATTGAGTGTTAAGAGCTCTGTGGGATGTTCTGCGGGAACTTGGAAGAAGAGAATGTTGAGAGTAGTGCAGAGGCTGGAAGCCTGGCTTGTGAAGTTTCAGAGGCAAGTTTGAAGACTGTCAGGGTCATTTGTTATTTTGAATTAAGATTCTTTGGTTCTGATAGCTGAAGCTGAAGAATCGGCTGTGATCAATAAGACACCAGACCTTCTAGAGCGAAACTTTGCTTTGATGCTGGTTGGCTGAAGCTGAGAAATTAGTGGTGAAGAGGAGACCAGCGTTACTGAGGTGAAATCTGGGAAGTGTTTCCTGAGAGCACGGACAAGCTGTGTGTGCTGTGGAGGGTGGAGCTGGAGAAGTGACCCAGACCCTTGGAGGAGTTCAGATCATGAGTGGACCCCAGCCATTGGGTGGTTGGAATTTGGTTTTGCTTTGATTTTATTGTGGCTGTGCTCTGCTGTTTTCTTCTTGAAGTAAGAAAGTATTTAACTGGAGCCCACAGTTGAGAGATTCGAATTTTAAGACTTTGGATTTTAAGATACTGGCTATTTTAAGGGGACTAAAATTTTTAATGTGTTAGAATTTGTGAAGACTGTAGAACTTTTAAAGTTATTTATGTTTTTAATAGTGGTTTAATAGTGATGTGTTTGTGT